TTTTTTTTTTTTTTCAGTTATACATAGCCGAAGAATATATAAATAAAACTTTTGAATCATGTAAAAACGTAATCAATCCATCCAGCGGTGGTTTGGCGATGGATATAGCATGTGGTTCACATGGGGCGAGCAGATGCACACCAAAGAAGTAAATCATCTAAGAAACCACTTAACACTGTATATAATAATTATACTTTTTATTTATTAACAATCGTAAAACAACAATTCGATTTTATTTTTTCAAGATGGTTCGAATATATGGGTAGTACGAGTGAAAATGGTTTCGTACCATTTCAAATAAACAACGTCTACGATCACCCCGATCCTTGGAATGCAATTGTCAAACCTTGTAACGAGCCCTACGATGTGAGTTTTTAAAAAATTGTATATACATGTATAAATTTTATTTAATATCATCGTTTTTTATATATTTCTTTTTTTTTTCTTTGATATTTTAATATAAAACATTTTTAGAAATTTGTTTTCCTTATGAATATATTAAAATAATACATTTTAAACAGAATACGTCGCTTAGCTGCAGTTGCGTCGATTGTCCAACAGCGTGTCCCGTAACAAAATTAACAATTGATTCCAAAGATTTTATTCTTTTGGGTATAAATGGTTTTGGAATAATAGCTGCGATTGTCGTAGTACTTATTACGATGATCGTTACTGGGATTTATGTGTTTTTATCAAAAATGAAAAAAAAAGGTACATAATAATAATACCTAAGAAAAACGGTAGATTATGATAAATGAAAAAAAATTTAAGAAACATTGTTTGATTGTTTGATATTGAAAAAAAAAAAAATTATTTTTTACAGACATATTTTTTCCCATGGTGACAATAATAGATTGTCACAAAATCTTTCGAAACATCTTCGAGAAATTTTTTTACACGTGGGGAGCAGGTAAATTTGATAAACAATCTTGCGTATTTTATAGCAAATTCGTTTTGTTTTTCTTTTTTGTTTTTTTTTTTTTTTTTTTTTTTTTTTTTTTTTTTGATATATTACGAAAGAAAATTAATATTTAATATTTGTCGATTGAATCACGAACAGTATTTGCTGCATATCCAGTCCTATGGTTGTTCATATCATCATACGCGGTCTTGGGAATGAGTTATGGCATTAATTATCTCATTATAACTGTAAACCCGATAGAAATTTGGGCATCACCCAACAGTAGATCAAGAATAGAGAAAGATTACTTTGATACACGTTTCCGACCATTTTACAGAACCGAACAAATTTATATAAAGCCTGTAGGTATTGATAAGGTATGTAATAAATATTGTTTTTCATCTTTTTTCTTTTTTTTTTTTTGTTTCTTTCAAACAATCAAAAAATTATTTTTTCGAAATGTAATTGAAATATTTTTGTCTAGGTTTTACACAATACGTCAAATGGTATACAAGAATACGGTCCGGTCTTTAACAAGGATTTTTTATTTGCCGTTTACGATCTTCAAGAAAAAGTTTTAAAGGTAGACCACGCGAATTGTATTTATTTTTTATTAGCTACGATAGAAAATAATAATATTAAGTAAGTTAATCCGTATAGCTTGGCCGAGACACTAACGAAAGTATGGAAAATTATTGTTACGCTCCCGTGTATAATGATTTTCTTGGTCCAATGTCCGTATCTTATTGCACGGTGCAAAGTATATGGGGTTATTTTCAAAACAATATAACTACTTTTAACGAGACGGATCAAATAAAGGGATACGAGACTAATTATTTGGATCGTCTTTACAAATGCATGCAGTAAGTATTATAAAAATTAATTATTTTAAACACAATTAATATATTAATAATAAAACAAAATAATTATTTCTCAGAAATCCATTTAATCCGGATTGCATGGCCCCATACAAAGGTCCGATTTTTCCTGCGCTAGCAGTTGGAGGATTTTTAAAAGAAAATGAATTCAATTACGATTCTTCTGACTATATTAAAGCTAATGGATTAATTCTATCATTTTTAATGAATAATCATTTAGATGAAGAAAAACTCGAGCCCGTTATCAAATGGGAACAAAGGTATATCTTTATTTGTTTTATTTTATTTAACAAAATTGAATATATCTACATACTTGTAAGAAAGTATTGCCTATTATCAAGAGTAAGAAATTTCCTTTAGAGTAGACAACACCTTCATACATACTGTAAGATGGTGCAACCTAATAGTAAATATTTTCCAATTGCTATACGCATTATGATTAATTAAAAAATATTTTTTATATGCAACACAAAGGTTTATCAATTTTATGAAGGATTGGGTAATACATGAAAAACCGGACTTTATGGATGTGGCATTCGTAACAGAAAAATCTATTCAAGATGAATTAGATAGAACGTCGAAAGCAGAAGTTGTGACAATGATAATTAGTTATGCAGTTATGTTCCTCTACATCTCGTTTGCATTAGGACAAATGAGAGGGTCCATTAAAAAATGTTTTGTAAGAAATCAATCTTAAATATAAACATCGTTTCTATAGAAATGAAATTCATTAGAAAAATAATAAACTGAATTTTGTGTTTAGGGTTCAAGTAAAATCGTTGTGAGTATTGGTGGTATTATTATAGTAATTGCATCGGTAATTTCCTCATTAGGAATTTTTGGATATATTGGTGTATCCACAACTTTGCTCACGATCGAGGTAATTATTAATATAATTATATTGATTTAATTTTATATTAGTATGAATTTTTAAAAAAATTATTAAAGAATACATTTTTTTTCATATCGATAATTGTACATAGGTAATTCCTTTCCTAGTACTGGCTGTTGGTGTCGATAATATATTTATTTTGGTACAAACTTATCAAAGAAATCGCAAACGACCAGAGGAATCGATACCAGAACATTTAGGTAGAATAACAGCCATGGTTGGACCATCGATGTTATTAACCAGCATGTCCGAATTATTTTGCTTTTTGATTGGTAAGATAACAAAAAATGATTAATTAATCTAAATATATAAATAAATTAATACGATAATTATGTAAAATAAATAATTTTAGGTGCATTTTCCTCGATGCCAGCTGTCAACACATTCGCAATGTATGCATCTGTGTCTATTCTAATTAATTTCTTACTTCAAATAACTGCCTTTATCAGTTTATTATCTTTGGATGCTTGGAGATCAGAGGTAATGACATGATTAACATCAGAAATAATTATAGATTGATTTTAAATTTTATTATCTTTCAGCAAATTCGATTAGATGTACTCTGTTGCATTTCAACAAATAAAAGATCACATGTAGAATCTGATAATCACGGTCTGGTTCATATTGTGTTCAAACAAGTTTATACATCATTTCTTATGAAAAAACCAGTTAGAATAATCGTTCTCGTTATTTTTATTACTATGTTTACCATTCACACTGCTGTATTTCCTAGCATCGAAGTTGGTTTGGATCAGAAATTATCTATGCCTGAAGATTCTTACGTTTTGAAGTATTTCCAGGTAATATATGTATATAAATAATTAACCCCATTAATAGAATAATTAATTATAAGTTATATTCTTAATAAATTTCCTTGTTATTTTCTTTTTATTTTAATTATAATAAAATTAATATTATTTTTTAATTATTTTTTTTTTAATTTTTCAAGTATATGGACGATTTATTATCCATGGGACCACCTGTATACTTTGTAGTAACGGAAGGTTTAAATTATAGCAACACCAATGTTCAAAATACAATTTGCGGTGGTCAACAGTGTAACGTGGATTCTTTATACACACAAATATATTCTGCGGCTAATCAATCGTCTATGTTAGCGATTTTATTTATTTTTATCATTCAATTTCATTTCATTTCAATAGATAGAAATTTTTCATTCGAATTATTTCAGATCGTATTTATCGAAAGCTGCTTCTTCCTGGATAGATGATTATTTCGATTGGTCGACCATCGATAAATGCTGTAAATACTATTCCACCAATAGTTCTTTTTGTCCTCATACAGAAGGTACATTAATATCTTATTATTTAAACTATCTTCGAGAGAGAATCTCTCGTATAATAAAAATTTATATTATTAAATATAATAAATTAAAATAAAATATATTAAATCAGATGTTAAATATTAATATTAGTTTTAATAATAATTAAGCAAGTTGCAACAACTGTAATATAACAATCAACGATGATAATTCTCGTCCGAATAAAACATACTTTCGAAAATATATTCCATACTTCGTTTCTGATATTCCGGATCAAGATTGTGCTAAAGCTGGTCGACCTTCTTACTTAGACGTAAGATTTTTTATTTAAATAATAACACACAAAAATATTTTATTGTAATGTATAATTATAATGATTATATATACTTTTTTTATTTCTAGGCAATTAATTATTATTATGACCACTATGGTTTGATTGATATCGGTGATACTTATTTTATGGGATATCACACACCATTAAAAAAATCTAGCGATTGGTATGAATCGTTAAGAGCTGCACGTGTTATAGCTGCTAATATTACAAATATGATTAATAATGCTAAATTAAGTGATAAGAAAATTACAGTATTTCCGTACAGGTAAATAATTGTATATAAAAGATTTAAGTATTATCTTCATTATTTTCTTCTAATTGTATTTTAATTTTTAATTTTTTTTTTTTTAATTTAATTGCAGTATTTTTTACGTGTTCTACGAACAATATTTAACAATCTGGCAAGAGACATACTTGTCTATAAGCTTGTCATTGGCCGTCATTTTTCTTGTTACGTTATTGTTGACTGGAATATCAATATTTTCTGCAATAATTGTAGTTGTTACTGTATTGATGATAATTATCAATATAGGTGGACTTATGTATTGGTGGAATGTACAATTAAATGCGGTATCATTAGTTAATTTAGTTATGGTTGGTATTAATATTATATATGTCTCTCTTGATATTATAATTTGATATTTATTTAAAATTTATTCAATATATATTTATTTCTATAGGCTGCTGGAATTTCAGTGGAATTTTGTAGTCATATCGTACATTCTTATTTAATATCAAATCAAGATACAAGAATTGCTCGTACTTCGGAAGCACTTTCGTTAACAGGAAGTTCCGTGAGTAAATTTAATTAGATTCATCAATGAAAATATTGTAATTTTTAATTAATAAATATATTTTTAATATTTTAGGTCTTTTCTGGAATTACTTTAACCAAATTTGTGGGTATCGCAGTATTGGGATTTGCAAAAAGTCAAATATTTCGCGTTTTCTATTTTAGAATGTATTTAGGAATTGTATTATTTGGTGCTACGCACGGGCTAATCTTTCTGCCTGTTTTATTAAGCTTTATTGGTAAGAAAAATATAGAAATAAAAATAATTACTCTGTTAAATTTTATTCTATAAAAAATTATATTTATAAAAATAATTTTTGCAGGACCCGAACGTAAGGACAACAAACCTTTGCTAAGATAATATTAAAATTAGATTTTTCTAATTAGGTATATGTATGTATATATTATTAAATAATAGTAAAGAATGTAATTATGTTTCTATTATTTATATATGTG